TGTCATTGTTGTTGTTATTGGGGAAAAATGAACGAAGAAAAAGCGCACCATGCTCAAATTTCAAAGGGAATTGCTAACATTTTTGCCATTTTCTTTTTCTTCTCTCATTTGCAGAACGGTTGGATGGAGCCTCGAATACGTCGAATTCTCGGCAATATAAAGAAGAGCGAAGAGCGGTCACAGCAGATACTCTTATGCAAGGGTGAAGGCGAACTTTGTAGTATGCTTTTTAAAACGCCGATCAAACCGGTCGCAACACCATAAAAAGCCTAAAACAACAGGAAAACACACACAAAAACACAAGAAATCACCTGTTTGACACCATAAACAAAGTGCACAAATGCATTTTTTATGATGATAATTGACTGTGTAGGGTGTAGAAAATATGTATTGTGTCGAATGGGGTGCGGAAAATTTTTTTTTTCTTTTTTTTGGTATTTTTATTCTTTTGTTCTGTTGATTTCATTTCTGGCGTTATTTTTTTTCGAAAGAAACATGAAGAGATACGTGTATTGCTTTTTTGCCCATGCATAAATGTATATTAGGACTTGATGTTTTGAATTGTACTGTCCAAATGAAGAAGGATGGGGCTTTTGCTCGCGCGCGCGTGTATAGAACAGCTACATCAATTGCTGTTCAGTTTTTTTTCGTTCATTTCCTGTAATTGTGTAGAAATTAGATTGATAGCCAAACCAAAATGGTTAATGTGGGAGCTTGAGCACCAGTAGAAACATGTCGATGGAATCTTTTTTCCGATAGTAATTTACGATTCAATTGAACCAGATCAAGAAAAAGTTACACACAATATGACTGCACCGAATGTTACTTGTCGCACACCCAACTTAATGGACAGACAAAATAACACACTAAACAAACAAAAAACACACACAAACAAACATAATTTGCACACATTTCGTTGTGAACTGTCATAAATTCTAATTGAAATTGGTGTTGCGTTGAATTCGTTTTTCGGTGTGCAAATTTTTGGTAAATGTTTCGCGATAATATAATGATAAACAATGGAAAATTTCTCTCATACACACACATGCTGAACATAATACACCGAAAGTGAACAGATGAACAAAAAAACAACTTAATTAATTGCGATTTGAAACACGATCCGAATTGTGCAACATCCGCATATATTTCGTTTTGCCGATATAAATATACATGCGTTACACGGGTAATTGTTCAAACCCGTGAGCCCGCGCTCTTGCACTGGGGCACAAACACACACACACACACACATAACAACAACAACATTTGTGCACACAATTGTTGAACAAAACTTTTACTATTGAATTGTAATGCGCATCATCATGTATTTTGATATCAATTGTATTTGCATAATTTAGACATAATTTGAGACAATTAGATATCGAAAGGCATTGTAGTTGGTCTATAATTTAAGTCAATGGATATATGATTGGTTTTTATAATGTTCGTTTAGAAAACGACACGTTTCCCTTCATTTTGTAAGAGACTTTTTTCCATTCATTTTTTCTAATGGAAAAATTAACTCGTTTTGTGTTCTTTCTACTTTTTTCGCTTTTTTACTCTCAGAGAGTTTTTTTTCCTTCTTTATTTCTTCTTTATCTAACATTTTTATGTAAAAAAAAAAACATTTCAACCCAAATTTCCATTCTTTTTTCTAACGTTTTTCTCCTCTTTCGTTGGCTCTTTCAATGTACTTTAGTTTTTAGGTCGTAAAAAAAATGCACAAAACAGGCCAGCCAGCACTGGTTCTGTTTTTCTTTTAATTCGTGCTTCTTGATGAGGCTGCTGTCTGGGCCGGCCATTACGTGCACCATGAATTTTTAATGAACAAACAATCGTTGCCGTTGTTGAAATCATCAAATTTTTCTTTCGTATCATCATCATTACAATTAGTTCACTATTAATCTTTAGGTGATGATTGTTAGCCTTTTTTTACGGTCAAACAAACACAAGAAAGACAGCAGAGGAAAAAAAAACAATTCATAAATGTGCTATCAAAACCAATGCGATTTAGACAAAAGAGATGAAAAACACTTCAAATCAGACAAAAGCATTTTTAATATTCAAATAGCGAATTAGAAAGAAAAAAATGTCAACGTTTTAAACGTTAAATCCCTCAAACAAATGTTACAAAACAAAAAAAAAATAAATAAAATCGACTTCCATCCATGATTATAAATTATATATAGTGAATAACATCAAAACAGAAGAAGAAAAAGATACACACACACATAAGTATGATAATAATATTAATACAAATAATTGTAATATGTTATGCTTAGACGAATAGGAATCATTACTAAAGTAAGGGAATTGGCTAATTTTAGAGGATTCGCCAACAAATGGGCAGCGCGACTTGCGCGACACAATCATTTTGAGTTGTCGCATGACGGGATTTATTTTTCAAAACGACAATTTTACATTCATATCAATTGCAGGCTCTAAGTTAAATGTTAAACATTTTATTTTTAATTCTATATGAATTATTTAGTCGTCGATGAGATTTGTTTTACCGTTGCCAGTCAAATGTGCGTCACACGAACCATTTCAGTTGACTTAGTCAACCGTTTGATTTATCGTTATTGAGACATATGAGCCCATTTTGTCAACTATGAAATGACGCGTTTTCCTTCTTTTTTTTAATAGAAAACCCGATATGGCTCATTGAGATGTGGCTTTTGAATTATTTAGCGTCCCCGCTATTATTTTTTCAACGCAGTTTTTTTCCTCACTGTTTGTTTGTCATATCCTTGGTTCTTGGAAGGGCGAACAAACGATTGATTTCACGGCTATTTAATTATTAAATTCCGTTATTCCCGTATATGTTTGACAAGCGCTGTGGAAACACAACCAATTGGTCTTATGAGAACAAACAAAAAAACACTTTTTTTTTTCGGAAAAGTGTCATTAAATGGGTGGTCCTATTAACAAATCAACTCATTCGATCCGTTTGTGGGAATCCCCCTGAATTTAAACCAAAAATAAATAAATAATGTGAAGCACCTATAACACACAAAAAAATCTATATGAAATTTAGAATATAATGTATTGATTGTTTAGTGATATATTTTATTGGCGATGTTTTTCGCGCTATCCGGAAGTATAAACAGAAGAATTGAGAAAGAGATCGATTTACATAAACAAATGAATGGAAAATCCAATGCCAACATTGATTCGATGTATGTATAAAAATGAAAACCGATTCCATGCCGTCAAATATCAAAATATTATCAAATTTACATATACATTTTTGACAAGTAGAGAAAGTGGAGAAAAATCTACAGAAGAGACGATCTAAAAATCTGAGACGAACTGAAAAATTCAACAACAATCTGAAAATTCGAAAGAAAAAAAAATGATTCAAAATGCATGTTTTTCAACATGCCATCCTCGTTTGTTAATTTATTGGGCGTTTCACTCTCAAACACTTTTGCATTTGAAAAGCATGTTTAGATTGAAATCCTCTGTCCATATGCTATTCAAACTAGAAGAAATCTAAAAAAAGCTGTTTATTTACTCAGAAATACACACATGACACACAAGTTATACACTCAGAACGAAAGACAACAACAACAACAATAACAAAAACCGCATCAAATATGTATACATAGAAAGATCAGCGCTTGCTTAATATCGCTAAATGTGCTGTACTATTTGTTTCCATTATTCGATATCCAGGGTCTGAATAAAGAGTAAATATAGCCAAACCAGAGGAATTATTACGAAAAAAAGAAGAAATTCACCAGCTCTCATCAATATATATACTCACAAATTCATAGCATTTTATTGAACAGCTGAACAATTTGCCAACACTAACAAACTACTGGCAAACTGTAACTAGCAAACACATTTTTCGTGAAAAAAAAAAGAAAACAAAAATCAGACAAACAATAAACCACTTTTAACTTGATTTGTAGATCGAATGCAACCAACCAAATTTAAACAGAAAAAAAACGAAAATCAACCAAAAAAAAGACGCATTGTAGAATTTGATGCAATAAATAGTCGATAGCATTTAAGATCCAACTGATATAGCCCAAAAATAAACATTGAACATACACAGAAAAAATGCCAAAAAAAAGCCAACAACGACATCGCGTTTGCATTTACATTTTTTTTTATTTCGTGTTTTTTTCTCCTTCTGCATTTTAAGATGAAGATTTTGTGTTGTGAAGCAAAAACTTTGTTTCTTCAATGAGAGAAAAACTTTGAATTTTATGTGTCATGAAGAAGTTCGATTTTCCCTCGTACACATAAATGTTGATTCCATGGTGAGGATAGAAAATGTTCGATTTAATTTGTTTCAGAAGAAAAACTTCAACAACAGCAACAACAAAGATACCCCTCTCGCGAAGTATCGAAACGGTAAGTCACGGCTTAGGCGACAGATCAAAGAAAATCAAAGTTTTCCAAAAGTGACACATTTTTGCTGTGCATAAAACGCTCAAAACTTGACAAGTATTTTAATACTCTTTTAAGAGTAACTTTTTTTCTCTCATGTATCTTTTTTCCCATCTAAATAACTTTTCGTCTTCATCAAATTAAATTATTTGTTTCGCTTTTCATTTCTCCTTTGCCCCTCTTGACGAACACATTCTTCCGCAAAAGTTTAAATTAAACGCAAATTAAATTTCAGTATTTTATACGATTTTTTCGTTTATTTAGTGAAAAATGAAAAGAATCAGTTAGTACAAGAGATGTTCCGCTCGTTTCTCAAAATACTCAAAACCGTTTTTGTTTTGTTGTTTTTTTTTTTAATATAATTCACTTTACATAAATAGAATTATTTCGGCATAAATTTTCAGTTTTAACAATTGAAAATGGGCTAAACGATGTTTGTCGAAAAGAAAATGATCGGAACACAAGAACAAGAAAAAACAATTGGAGAGATTGATTGACAACGTGTCTCAAAATGATGTTGGATTTATTCGAATTGGGCTGACACATGCTACGTAGATTTCGATTTAAATTCATATGCACGCATTATGAATATCACTTAAAATTGATAGCATTCTCTTTTTCTCTCTTTAATCGACTAATACATTGTTTATGCATTCCTCTTTATTGATCAAGTGACAGGTTTTGTTGACCAAATTCATCAGCTTTGAAATGTCGAACGCCCAATCGTTGAGGATGTCGCTTGGCGCCTTCTTTGTTGAGAAATGAATAATGCCCGATGGACGATCGATTTTAACCGTTAATGCATTGTTATTGGCCAATTGCGACAGGTATTCCTCCGTTTGCTCGGCAGGCAGTTTCAGTAATTCACACAAACGATTCAAATTGATGCGGGTGTAGTAGTTGGAAATGACGCGAATATTCTATAGGGAAAAGTGAGGAACATTGCGTTAGAACATTGTTGAAGGGAAAATTTGATTGGAATTTTTTTTTCAGAAATTGAATGGAAAAATCAAGATTTTTTTTTTTTCAACTAAACAACATTTTAAAGTACGATTTTTGAATCATTTCGGAAAAAATGTGGATTTCTTTGCTTGCAATTTTTTTTTTTTTGATTAATTTTTCGTAAACGCATTAGGAGCTCATACTGTGTTACATTTTCGCTAGAAAATGTACTAAAAACGGGCAAAAAAAATCGAAATTTCTCCAAATTTTTCTCGTTCAAATACAAATTCAGACTTACGTGTTCGATGACACGGTTTTTTAGTTCGGTCCAGCATTTTTTGCCATGCGCTTTGCTTTGATTGAATATTTCGAAGCCGAGCAATTCTTTGCCGTACAAATTTTCCATGGCAGCAAAATCGATGAGTTCCTTGCACATGAATAAACGCAACAGCTCTTTGCAGATTGGCGATTCATCGAGTTGCTTCATTTTATCTAATTTGAGCATCATATCTTGTTGTTCGTTATCGTACGGTGCCAAAATGCAGTACAAACAAGCGAACACCATCATCTGTTGGCGTCTATTTGGAATATCGGCAATGATCTTTGAATCCATGATGGCTTGGTAGTGCCGTGAAGTGCGCAAGTATGATGTATCTTGATCCAAATCGATCTGTGGATGGACAAAAGTGATTAGTTTAGATTCATTTCCATTGATAAGTATTAATGATAGTATTCCAATATTCCATAAATTGAAAGAAATAAAGAAAAAAACGTATAAAATGTGATGAAGTTCCAACAAAAGTCTCAATTATTCACATGTTTCCATTTTTCTTTTGTGTTTCTCCACATTTGGGGCAGATTTTTTTTTTCTTTTTTTTTTCGAATTCACACGTTTTGCATTTGATTTATATTTTTTCTTCATCAATTTCACACTTTTCCTTAGCTTAAATGTGCCACGAAAAAAGAACCTTCTCAATCTAAACTCAATCTTCCTTACCATAATGCAATAATATTTGTACTTGAGGTCTTCTTGCTCTGGATCATCGAAGAACTTAATGCTGATCTTCTTGGCGATAATTTGTGCCCGTACCAAATCCTGTTTCGCTAAACACAATCGCATCTGTTCGAGAATGAGCTCGACTTTTTCGCGTTTCACCATTGTGCCGTATGTTTCGACTTGTAGTTCTTCCATAACATTGGCCGCACCAACGATATCACCATCGGCCTCACGGATGTTGGCCAAAATTTTGGTGAGCCGAGCCCGTTCGACTTCAACATAAATTTTACCTTCGGTCACCGTGCGCAACGTATCGATCAACTTCAATTTGGTTTCTTTTTCGGTGATTTGATCGACATACGTGCAACATTCCTGTACCATTTTGACAACGGCCTGTTTCAACTGTGAGCGACGTTTCACCAGCAATGCAATGTGTTCGTTGAGTGCATTCCAGTTGCGTGCCTCAAAGCAAATCTGTACGATAGCGCACAAAACACGCGAACATGACACCATGTCGGCACCCAAACGCGTTTGCTTTTCCAATTGCAACAGGCCGTCGATCGACTGATGAAATTTTGCCGGATCTTTGGCAGCCTCTTTCAATGCGGGAATTTTCTCATCACACGCACTGCTGTAGTCCACCTCCATCTTAATGATGCGACCACCGTCGATATTTACCAAATTATCAAATCTTGGATCATCCATTCTGTCCGATTTCGCTTCTCACCAACGGAATTCAATGAAAAATTTCTGTGGAAGAAAAAAACAAAGAGTGAAATTTCGATTATTTCTGTTTTGATGCAAACAAAAATGGGATTTTGAGATCAATTCCCAAATATGCATCGGCTTTGCTGCAAATGACTTGCACAAAGCCAAACAAATGAACCTAACCTCAAACATTATGCTCCAATGGCTTGTGAGATTTGCAAATTTTCACCATAATTTTTGCCATTGTAAATGTGAAAACAGTGAATACATCCATTGGAGACATTGAAATGATAGAAAATTTGCTCAATTTTCACGCAAAATGCCCATTTGGCCATTGTCAAAAACTTGTTTGTCATCGTAAACACTATACGGTCTCATTTACCGCAAAACAAATTGATGTCTTGGCAATGGGTCTTTTTTTTCGAATGGAAACTCACCTGAATTTAAATTTATTGACCAAATTTCGGCGTTTCTCTTGGATATCCTCACGTTGAACTAATCCAAACAATTTATTCGAATCGAAATTGATCTCGGATTTATTTCTATTGTTTTTACAGCGACAGTCTTTCACTTTACACACAGCAGCAAATAATATTCAGGAGTACGAATTGGAATCGTCACCGAACAGTCAAACTCAATGTTAACACCAGCTGTCGTCTCGCTCACACTCAACGCAATGGTATGACGGCTGAGTGTAATGACTGCTGTACTCAATGTCTTTGACACTTCGAGCTTAGGTATTTTTACGTTATGATGTTGCACAACATGGAAGCGCGACAGTGGTGCGCCAGTTTTGAACGTGAAATTTGTATTGTAGTCAGTTTGAATAGAAATAATGATAAATTGATTTAAATAAAATGAAAACGATTCGTGTTTGCAGCAATTTTAAAGAAAATAAATTGAAATTCGAAAATGATCGTAATTTGAAGAAAAATGTCCTAGAAAATCGTTCAAAACGGTTCGAAAGCGGGATTTTCGAGAAATATTCTATAATTTCACCAATTCATGAGTATTTAATGACTTTTTTTTTTCAACGAAATCATCCGGTTTCTCGGGCTAGAGAGAAAGAGCATGATGAAAATCCAAAGTGTTTACTGTATTTATCTGAATTCATAGTCCATTATCGAGTTCTAGTGAAATAATAAGTAGCTACTAAGAATATCATGTACTGAACATGTTTTAGCGTAGACGTGGAACCCGCAATGACAAATAAAAACGTAAAATCGATTTCTTCCGAATAGAAACTGAATCACAATCACAATATGAGATCGAATTTCACGCCATTCATCAATCTAAATATTATCGATTGAACGAATGTTTCTACTTCGTTTTAAATGATTTGTTTACAACTTCATGTTATTTACAACGAGTTTTTGGGTGATTTTCAATGAGAAAAGCGGATAAAACTTTTTTTTTTACTCAATATTATTTTGATAGCATTGAAATTGAAAAGAATTCTGTCATTTTCAATGAATTTGTCATCATCCACTCCATTTTTCGAAGTTAACTCAAATAAGCTTGAAAATTGTCGTTTTTTTTTTTGCTGCCTTACAATTTATTCATAAAAAACAAATTATAAAATACGATGCGAATACAAAAATATCTCCCCTATGCACATAAGAATTTTCAGATTTTTCTTTCATTTTGGTACATTTGAACGATGGGTTTTTAAGGAATTCGAGATATCTTCGGTATCTGATGACGTTTCAATAGCACAACGATGCAATCACATTGCCCGAATAATTTGTTTACACGATGCACTCGAGTCCCAAAAGATTGTGTCGTTTATTTGTTGACTTATTCCTATGCTCCAATTCCTTATCCTCTTTGGTCTGGACATTTTTTTGCCGCTTCTTCTTGATCTGAATTGAATGGTTAATTGTGAAAATTAGTGATTGAAAATTAACTAAATAATGTGGATAAATCGTAAGAGAGTAACTAAAAGAAGTAAACTAATGCCATTCGAACCAAATTTAGTGGCCAATTTAGCAAATTCAATGGGATCAATGTACTGTACATATGTCATAATTTCTTAGAACTAACTCCATTCTTTCATTCTCATTTCGACGATCTCCAGTCGCCTTTCTAGTCCATCCATTCATTCTTCCATTTTCTCAAGAATGTTATCGAGTTTTTCGCCCAGTTTATCTATGCGCTGATTATCCGCTTCTTTCATTTCTTTCATTTTTTTCTCTTTTTCGCATGCAAGTCTTAGACGTTCTCTCTGAAAAAATAATTCATTTAAGCAGCATAAATTTGATTGATAAACAATAGCTATTGTCTCACTCACACTGTGACGAATTGGATACTGGCAGATGTGCAAGCGCAGTTGTGTTAGTGCGACAGTGGCGCGCCAGTTTTGAATGAGAAAAATGGATTATAGCCAGTTTGTTAAATAGATTGAAATAAAATGAAAACGATTCATTTCCGATGAAATTTTGAGAGAAAATTAAAATGAAATTCGAAAAAATATATTTAAAAAATGTCAATTAACGAAATATGGTTTGGAGAACTATTTAAAAATCGGAATTTTTGGAAAATATTTTACAAATTCATGAGTATTTAATTATTGTTAACGAAATCATCAGATTTTCAAAGGTACAGAAAAAGAAAATGATGAAAAACAAATGTGTCCATTGTATTTATCTGTGGTCGTAGTCTCTGTCCATGCCATTTCTCATACGAACTACTAAGCGAATACTAAGTACACAACGCTCTTAACATGTTTTCACGTTTAGGTACTTTTTATTATCCGCAATAAGGAAATCCCGTAAAAAGGATTTCTACGGAATAGAAATTGAACCACAATCTCAAATTTCACATTCGAATCTACATTCGTTTTGAATGAATGTTCCTACTTCGTTTCAAGTGATTTGTTTACAACTGCATGCTGTCTGCAACGAATTGTTGGAAGAGTTTTTATGGGAAATAGTTTAATTTTCCACTTGTTTTGATAACAAACAAAACGAAGCATCTTGACATTCCCTATGGTTTCCATCGTTCATCCCAATTTTCAAGGTTATTGCTTTTATCCAGTGAATTGGTTTTTTATTGGAAAATGTCTCCATTTTACTAAGCATATTAAATTTCTGTTGGTTTGAATGAAATGGGTCCGTTTTCACTTTTGATTCGAATATTAAAGTTGATTTAAAGTCAAGAATAGCCCAATTTTGATGAACATAAAAACGAATCGAATATTGAATGAAAGAATGAGTTGATTTTTCAAAAAGACTAACAGCTTCTTCAGTCATGATCCATTCAGAAATTTATGAATAATTTATACAATTTAAAATACTGAAGCATCCAATAGAATGAGAAATTGGAAAGAATTTGTTGGGAAAAAGATTTATTGTGATTTAAATTCAAATCTTTAAAATAATTCCGAATGAAATATTCAGATTTGATTTCCTTCATTCAATAAACGATTTATTTAACATAAGAAATGCATGAGATCTTCTCAAAATTCTTTGTATAATATCAAATTGGTATTATTACTCACCTTTGCCATTTAAATTTTCCGAGAAAAACATACCGTAAACCGCAAGATGAATTGCATTGAGATGAAATCTTCGTTCAAAATGCCAATGAATATCACCTTTAAAGCCATCTGAAAGAAACCTTCAATAACATATTGTTCAATTTGCAATTGTTTTGGTATTCAATTTAAACGAAGCGTTTTATTGACCGGAATTATTTTCCGTGTGACAAATGGCTAAGCTACGTGCTGTACGTAAGTGTATTGAAATTGATGGAAATGATTTGAACAAGATGTTTATTGAGGAGATGCCATGGCTTGATGGCTGGAGAATTGTTGCATTTGTGCATGTTTCCTTCCATCTGGAGCGATGTGTTTATTTGTTATTGATGTGAAATATTTGCCCTGAATATCCTGCGCTGTGTTGTTGTTGTTCATGTTGCTGCTGCGGCGTTAATTTCACAATGTCGTTGGAAGTTCATTCATCATTTGGCATTACACCGGGCCGCTCGGTCCAGCAAATGCACGTACGCACATTACTCAGAGCTGTTTCGTGATCATAGCGCCCGTTCAACGGAGGAAATCTTTGGGAAAATGTATATGTCGGAGAGAGAGAGAGAGAGAGTTTTGTTACGCATAACGCCGTTGTATGACGTTAAACTGGGAATTGTATGCACATCGGATGTACGCGCCAAAGCATTAACGTTGGATAGAATCCACATGGCGGGTGAATGCAATGACAACGAAAATAAATTATACACATTTTTTTTATATTAAAACATACGCAGGCGCTTATTTACAATAAACGCACTTAAATTGTGCCGCGACACGAATATAAAACGAGGAAATAAAGCAAAAAAAAAAAAATAACATGAACTGATTTGCCAAGATTTATAACGCAGTGACTGCTTTTAACTGGCCACTCTTCACTTTTTTTTTATCTATATTTCCATAAACAAAAGACTTTGCTTTGCCAATTGAATAAGTCATGAGCCGAGATTTAGCCCATTGACTTTTTGCCGCGTCCTCTCTCACACTCTCTTTCTATCTCTTTCTCTCTCTCACCCTCTTTCGTTCATTCATCCATTCTTCATTGTAAAAGCGCCGCCTGTGAAAATGGCAAACTTTGTAAATCTATTGAAGATTTCATGTCGAATTATAGAACAGACGAGAAAATTCAAAAGATGACTTAACCAACTGAAAAGTAAGTAGGGTATGCCATACAATGTATGTGGGATTTGTGAAACGGATTTATCAATGACAAAACGTGATCGGCATCATATGATATGGAATTGAACCACTTCAACGAAGTGGTCACTCTTAGTGATTCATGATTCATGACGACGACGACGACGACGACGACGACGACGACGACGACGACGACGACGACGACGACGACGACGACGACGACGACCACGATGACAACACCAGCTTTTAGCAACAAATTCGTCTTCAGACACACACACATACGCACACAATACCCGGAACATCACATACAAATACACCACTTACTCCTTTTTATTACCACTGACGACGTGTTTATTCATCTCCCAAGTGATTCAATCAATTGTGCAGATACATTTCAATTTGACGAGAACTGCTAACTGCGCTCATAAATCTATTTATGTAACCAGATAAAAGCACCAGCATAAAACGTCACTCCAATATAAAGCATGTCACTCTGTTCAAATACTTGTCGCTGATCGGAATAAATTCAACGATTTTCACCATTTGCTAAATGGATCTAAAGAAAACTTTTGATAAATGGATTCGTAACGCCACGAATTTAGCATTTGGACGATTTTGAGATGGTTCGAAGAGAAAATCTCTCCGAAAGTATAACATAACCAAACTAAATACCGCGTTGGAATATGATTCGATTTTTCGATTGTACTGTTGAATAAAATCTGTATCAATGTATGAGATCTTTTTCAAAATTAATTGGGATATTTCCACAGAAACGATCTAGCTACAGATCCACATAGATCTGTACGATGAATTTAGTTGAAATTTTACTCAATTAAATTATTACTGCATTGATTTGAATTAGGTTCAAACGAATCGACGTCAATTCTTTGTGTCTTACCATCGAATACTCGGAGATTGAAAAACTACGTTCAATGTCCTTCATTTATCCTGCGAAAAAAATACATTGAAAATGACTTTCAAAAATATGTCCAAAATCTAAACAAACTAACAGACTGATGCAGAGTTTATGATAAACTCGTGTCATTGCCATCGCTCCCAATTTCTACGTAAACATTCAACAGACATAAATAACAATAAAAAAGATGTTTGTGAGAAAGATGCAATAAATCATCATGGATATTTTGCCCAGAAATACGAAATTGCGTCGTCAAAATTCAACAGATAATTTGTTAGTTATACGAATGAGAAAATCACTTGTCACCAATCATCATTGTAAATCATTGCCTTAGTCATCGTCTCTTCAAATTTACTCTGGCATTTTATTTAAGCTGTTTAGCGAGACGTCAGCTATGGTTTTGCCAGCAAGCTTCGAAACTTCAATAATAATAAAAAAAAAGTTGTCAACAATTTGAAATAATGATTTCTATAATTACCGAACGTAAATTTCGTGGTGTATACAACGAAATGATGATGCAAATATTTTTTTACAGCTAATTAATGCTCAGATTTCGCTTGAGTCCTCAAAACCCCTTTCTTTGAGTTGGTGCTTTTTTGTCTATGAAGAAAATGTGATTCTTGTTTGGTTTTTTTTTTCTTGTCAACAACAACAACAAAATACTGTAACTTTTTTTTTGGTGCTTCATCAACAAAACTAAAACACAACAAAAACAGGTAAGCAAAATCTTTTTTACTTTTCTAATGCTCAACAGCAACACATTATTACTTAAGTGGCCAGTCCATACTTTTTCTTCTAAGACGATTTTCTCATCTCTCGCAATCAAAATTTCCAAAGCATTTCATCTAATTGATGGCTCATTCGATGGATGAATGACGACGTTAATGGCTTTAAACAGTTTTTATCTCCCCGTCTGTGTCGCTCTGTGAATAATGGTCCATCGGATATGTGCAATGCGTGAATTACTTGGCCAAGTGAGGAAAATATAACAGACAGGTCCCATTCAATCGCTATTTGTGTTTAGTTATTCTTGCGGTTATTGTTGCTGTTACGAAAGTTTTGAGTGTCAACCAATTGACGCCAAGAATTGGCACACACATATAAATGACACAAACCGGAGACAGTTTGCCTTTACGAATGTGCACCTCGATATTACATTCTCGACCAGAGTATTGGAACAGTGTCTCTTTCTATCCATGTGTCAGCCCATCAAAAAGCATTATCCTTGCAGAAAAAAAAAATATTGGGCGAAAAAATGTAATTTTCTTTGTTTTCCAATACGTTTGCTTATGAATTTATGCGGCCATGGATGGGCGTAGTGGTGATAGAGTATGCCAAAGAACCTATTAAAAGAAATTGAAATCGAATAAGTTGTTTGGTATTTTTCCTTCGTTCCACACGATTTCAAACGCAGTGAATGGCTGCTGACAAATGAAACGTAAACGAACTAAAATCGCGATGAAATCATCATCATCTTTTGTATTGATGGCATTGTTGGTACTCTGAGAAAAGAAATTTGGAAAATTATGTTAAACTTTTTGTTTTGACACTTATTTCACAACAAGAACTTGAAAACATTGTGGTAATATTCGGTACTAAATATATTTTTGCCGCTAGAGCACCACAAAGTTTTTTTTGACTTTGTAGTGAAAAAAAACGTTAGAAATATTTTTGGTACCAGAAATCACCACAAACTTTTTGAATTCATGTTGTGAAATAAATGTCAGAACAAAAAGTTTAACATAACCCAAAATTTCTTTTCTCAGAGTAGGCCTCAATATCCTTAGCAAAATTGATTGGAACTCGTTACTAGGCTAGGCATCATTCACTATTATCTTTTTTCTATTCCAAACACATTTTCCCTTCGGAGCATTTCAATTATGTAATAAAATGGGCATTACGACTTGTTGTGTTCATCCGTTTTTTTTAGCTTTGACGAAACACGTCACTGATTTGCTTCATTTCGTATAGCCGTTCGCACTTTTCTATTGACTTTGGTTGGTCGGCCGGTTGGCGAACTGAAAAATATCACAATTACGCGAATTATTTCGCACTATTGCGCTTTCGATCCCAAGATGTCTACATTCAATCGACATATTTTTCAGCGAAACTACCGTTGATACATTAAGCTAGATAGAAAGAAGGCGCGAGGGGAGAATAGAGACAGGAGGAAAGAAAAATAAAAGAGAAAGGAGCAAGGAGAAGAAGAAGAGAAAGTGAAATAGAGACAAGGAGAGAAAGAGAAATGAAAGGAAGGAATGAGAGAAAGAGAGAGAGAGAGAGAGAGAGAGAGAGAGAGAGAGAGCCACAGAGAAAAAAACGCTAGAATTTACATAAAGCAGCAAAAAAATAGAGAAAACGAGTCGAAATGGCTGAATATTCATAGTTGCCATCAAAAGAACGCAACAATTTAATTCATGGTGATGGCTTGCAAACGAATCGACGAGGTGAATTTAAGAAGAATAAAATCGACGTGGAGACACATCGGCGTCGCATTACTCTCCAAGCACAACGATAAAGACAATATATGAGATAGACGGCACACATTCCACCAAATATGAATGTACTCTGTGTGTTGTAATATAAGTGTGTGGATTGTGTTTTGTATCGCCCCAAATCTATATATTCACATATTCCTAATGTATGCGTAATTTATTTTCGTTATGGTCTGTGTATGTATCGCTCGAAATGGATACTCAATTTGTGTGGCTCAGTACTTTACATTTTTCGCTCTTTCCAATTTTCAACAGTACATACGATGCAACGATGTTCAATGGGCATTATTCAACAGACCAAATTGAAATATTCGAATGCAATCATTCGATTAAAGGCTCGCGACTGGGTTTTTGGATTATGAGGCCAATGAATATATTATAAGGGTAAAATGAATTTGGTCGAAGAATATTTTTCGTCACTCGCCTCCACTTGTAAATGTTCATCTAAATCGGTGTTAATTCGATTCGAAGCACGAAATGTAACAAGTCAAGAGTCTTTAACTAAAGAATGAAACAAATTGTATCGATAGGTAAAAAGAACAATGAGAATTTGGATTGCTACAAATCAAATGACTTAAAAATATCCGACTTATAACAACGAATATAAATTTAACTGAATTATTGCAACATTCGTTCAAAGTAGCATATCCCCATGAGGGATAAAAGCCTGTTTTGATGAGATATTTCAATGTATTTAATCGTTCTTCAGATGGTTCGATGTTTGACCAAGAATCAGATTACTCTCATTTGATTTCTTGGTGGAATAACATGTTGCCCAACGGCGTATCACACAAACGGTTATTGCGTTCAATTTCATGTGTCGTCAGTTCAATGATGTGAATTAATTAAAATGCATAGGCATATAAAAAAGCGCCAAATTTGCAAAAAGCCATTTCGAATGTCCCACACAATATCATTTCGTGCTCTATCTCGATTGTGGCTTTTCTTCTCTCTTTCTGTCTGTGTGCTTTTTTTCCCATTTTTCCAATTCTCAAACAACTTATCTGCGTAAACAATGCAATGAATTTCCAACGGTTTGTTCAGTCAGTTTCGCGAAACGAACAGACAAAAAAAAACCAGATAGAGTTTCTATTCAGTGGCAGAATGTGTCGATTCGATAAAAGGATTAGAGTGTACTAGAAAGTGCTTGGAGAGCACTTATGCCACTTTGTATGCGATAGCCACGGTTGCTGCCGTTGATGCCGCTGTTGTTGCTACTGAATGAATGGGGCGGATGAATCATACACGGCAAGGCAAAACACGCGCATAACTGACCAAACGAACGTTTTTATTTGATTATTATGGATTATGATGTTCGCGTGTGAGAGAGATCCACACACAATTCAAATGACTTTCATCCGTTTGTGATGTTGAACTTCTTTGTTTGGTCAGTTTTTTTGAGTGATCGGACAAAACCACTCCAGTCCGCCGCCGTCGCCCTCTCCCCATTGAAAATCACTCTATTTCTACACCAAATGATAAACGTCACACCCGATCTATTTGTATTCCGTGCATTTTCTATTTTTCATTTTAGATTTTTAGTGCGTGTGCCTCAAACCACAAAAGCAATTTATGGCGTTGTGTGAAAGGAGGACCCTTGAATCTTGTTTGCCCAGAATCAATTTTGTCCGCTGTCAGCATCGGGGCGAAGATAGTTTTTAAAGTAACTATATTTCTTTCACTCGTCATTCTTTTGCGTTGCAGCCCAACCATTGTTAACTCATTCTTTCCAATTCCTACAAATTGTTTGTCGCCGCTTTTATGCTGCGCGTGTATGTGTTAGTTGTTGGGCCAAAATTGATTTTGGATGTCTCGTTATATCTCTTGCATCAACAAACATTGTCTTTGTCATGCCCGACATAAAAGCACAACATTTAAACACGAATGTCAACCAAAAATAGAATTGAATGAACCAAAAATAGAAGCAAACGAGCGGCAAAACACAGTAAGAGAGAGAGAGAGAGAGAGAGAGCAAGGCAGATGGAGAGTGAGATGACAGAGAAATCGGTGGACATTTATTTAATATGTCGTAAAAGAGCAGTGCTTAGAATTCTTCTAACATTTGGCTGCGAGCTGCGAAACAAAGTTCCAAAGTCAAACAGAGCACAAACATCACACATCTCGCACGTTTTCAAGCAAAAACCCACGACGGGCATTGAAGTGACAGTGTGAAAGAGCGCGAAATAAACAGAGCAAAGGCGAATCAAGTGTCGAGTGAACGAGATGGAATAGAAAATGTGTGAAACATCCACGCGTTCGCAACTTTAACTTGAACATCATCATTGTGCATAGCAAAGCACTGTGTGCTGGTGCTGCTGCTGCTGCCGCTGGTGCTGCTGTTTCGTCATACTCTCTGCAAGACCGTTGAAGAATTTTTCACTTGGATAGGTTCTTTCAGTACGGTTAAGTTTCAGTCAACTACAGATGCTAGCACAGTAAACAAGCTTACGGGTAACAAACAAGAAACATCATTCTCTCTTTTTATTCCGCTGTTGATTTCGTTACTTTTTTTCTCGACAATCCATTCAATGGATGTTGAACTGTTCGCAACGTCAATTTAAATCGAACACTCTTCTACTCGGTAAAATCGTCGTTATTTCGGTTGCAAGCAAATCCTTTTACTCATCGCACTCATTTTATCGCGATTTTCAACCAGTTTAATTGTTTTGGTGTGTGTTTTGTGTGTTTGTTTTAAGTTACGTGATTAACAACACTTTGGCAGCTTTATTTTTCCGTCGTTAAGTGCGGTTACCTTTTCAACACTTCGTTATTTCAAATCACATACAACTAAAAAAATCAACGGCTGTTCATTTTGAACCACATTTTGACTGTTGCATACACGAACTTTCGAATCTAAAACACCAGTTTGTGATCGAACAACAACAAACGTAACGGTAATTTCAACACTTTCACAACGAAAAGTTAGGAAAATTGAATTAACATTTGGTGGTGATACGGTGAACTACAGAAAACCAATTAAATTTACCCAAAATTGTGGTGGCCATTTCGAACACATTGAAGCAAACCCCATTGAACATGATGAAGTCATTAAATGCACGAATCTTCTGGTGTTGGTCACTTTATTGCATCGTAGGCTGTGGTTTATTACCAGACATGGTACTCGGTGCCAGATACTTACCCACACGACGCTCCATACCGACACAACTGGAACGAAACGAACGGCTGAGGGAACTATTTCAACACGTAAGTGCATTATTGCATCGTTTCGTCTTATTTAGTGCCCAATTTTTAAATGGGATTCAATTTAATGGAAGAAGAAAACATACTTTCTTTGTGTGAATAAAAGAAAAGAGCTTTCATTCTTAGCGATTTTTTAAAAGACTTTTTGCTTTTTTATACTTTTTTTTCGCAATTTTTCGGTTTTTTTTTCATTTTTTTTCTTCATACTTTGAAACCTTTCAATCGTTTTCATTTCCACAGACATTTGGTACGTTTTCAAAGGAATGTTGGAAAAGGACACTTTTTTATTCTTACTGAAAAATTTCATCGTTTTGAACTAATCTTGAGTTGTCTCTTGAGAAGATTTTCTGTTTGTCGCTTTCAATGATTTGAAAAGACTACTTTGGAAGAATTTTTTTTTAAAAGCTTTCTTTTTCACATTTTTTTTTCTTTTTTCCAGTCGTTTGCTTATCTTTTTGGTTCTCGAATCGCTTGCCTCTCATATTACCATTGATTTGCGTTCTTTCAATTATCATTTTAAAATCACTTTCGCAATCAAACTGAAAAATTTTCGTTCTGATTTCAAAATTAAATCGTAGATACTTGAATCGGAGCGTGATGCCCATTTGTCGGCGGCAAATCAATTTGCCGATCAATTGAAGTTGATACAGAAGAAGAGTACTAATGATTTTGGCATGTTGCCCGAACCGATTAAGGATTACAACGATGAATTTGGAGAAGAATACGATTATCAGCAGCAGCAACAGCAACAGCAACGTCAAAAGCAACCATGGAGGTTTATATTGTTAAACTATGCTCACGGAGCGCATCGAAACCATAAACTTGACCAAAGCAACTCGAATGCAAATCCAAAAGCTTTGCATAATGATGATATGGTTTCGTCTCGATCGCAGCAATTAATGCAAAAATTGTATCGTGGCAAGCAGCAAAAATCGAGCGCCACAAATGCGAATGCCGATGCAAGCGATTCCAGCGCTAACAGCAGCAGCAACAACAACAACAACAACGACTTGGATTGGATAACATCAAATTCGGAACTGAACAGCGCCACCGACTATGACGCACTATACGATGACGTCAATGAAAAAAGATCATCGCAATCGTCGTCATCAAGTATGAAATTCGATCGCTATCGACGGAACGGCCCAATGGTACCGCGAAAAGAGCATCTCAATTAAAATTGAGCGAAATCCACAAGAGAAATTAAAAAATAAAACCAAAAAACCAACAACACAATTATACACACAATCAATACATACAAAGAAAAAAACCAACAACATACCAAATACACATCCCTTCGTACATATTCAAAATGAAATTGCTGTTCCTTTTGCCGCCGAAGAAGAAAGCTCTAGAAAATGCAACCATTTGACATAAAAACATATATGAAGAAAATTCTTTGAAAACAAAAACAGAAAAATCAATGTATCAAAAACCCAAGTGATTTCGGTGTCGTTTAAAATTATCGTATTTATTACCTTTTATTCTCTCTATCTCACTTCTACTACCCATTTAAAATGGCTTGATCGTTTTCCCGCAAATCGAATGCACTTCTGACAATTAAAAATTTATTTTCCAAATCAGTTCAGTGTTCAGAGCCAAGCATTTTGTCCTTCCCGAATTAATTTATCGAAATGAAATTGCTGAATGCGAAACTAAAACTACACGAACCCAATTTAATTTGAAAGCATCATTTTATGATTCGATATTCAAACTGTAACGACCGAAATGACTCGCAATTGATTCACACACGGTGATAACAAACAACTAATTTTCAATTGGTTTCGAAATCGCTTTATCACATTTATTCGCTTCGAGCCATTTCATTCGACATTTTATCCACTTTTTGGCTTTTAATTGCTTTTCCATCCAGAGGAGAAAAAATAAAACCTATTTCGTTATGCAAGAAGTAGACAAGAGCGCCAATTCCATTTTGAATGACTTGAACCAACGGAACTCAGTGACAATAATTTTTTTTATTCATATGACTTTAAATAATTTAGACTCGAATTATTATGTATATGAGAAACTGTGTGTGACTTCCGAACATATGTGTGCTATATTGTGCCGGCAAATGGAGACGAGCGAAAGAAATAACGAACGTAGAAGAAAACGACATTTTTTAGAGCACATACTCATTCGATGGGATCAGTTGGAAATCCCTTGAAACTTTTCCCATTCAAACAAATTGGACGAGAATGTGCTTCGAGTGCAACGAGTCGACATATTCAATTTAACTGCCGAAGATGGGGGAAAATACTCGAGAATCACATATTTTTGGAAATATTTAATGAAATGAAAGGGATATTTTTGGTAGCGTCAGATAGTTCGCGTCAAACGTTGCCACAATGATTTTCGATACAATTTTCTTCCCTGATTTTAAAGGAGAAGAAGAAGAAGATGAAGCAGGAGAAGAGAGACGAAGAAGAAAGTGAAGAGAGACGATGTGTTAGGAGGAGATTGAAGTGGAAAGAAGGGGAAAAGGAGATAAATTCATTAAAAATAGAAAAACCTAGAAAAGCTTATGGTTCACTTCTTCTAAAAAGCGTAAGAAATGACATTGAATCGCGGTAATTTTTTTCCGGAAATTCACTTCAATAAATGTTGTAACAAAAAATGCTTAGAGTCAATTGCTGTACAAGTTCATAACATTCGAAAGTGAAATCTGAAGCGATGCTTCTGTTCCATTCATTTCGAGCCGAAAAATAGAAGAAGAAAAGTGAGCGAGAATCATTTGGAAAAGTTTGAAACGAATATGTTTCCCCTTCCCTTGAAAATCAGTTAAACTGAATATGTGTTTGATCTCGTAAATGCCATGTAAGATTAAGATATGTAAGAGTAGCAGAAATTGTGTGAAATTTAAGCAAGTCAAGTGGGAGCAAGCCCCAAAACAAGTCTTTTTTTTTTTGGTCGACACGAACAAATGTTGTGTCAAATCGTATGGAATTTAAGTGTTCAGAATTGTCATGTTTTATAGGTCGTACAGAGCGTAGAGATCAGGAGACGAGGTGTCATTTTCCAATGAGGATTTTCATGTCAGAAAATTTTCAACCAAAAAGAATAAAAAATTAACACTGGAAGATAGCACACACACACAAAATATATATATAGCAAATATTTACATTTAACTGTGTATCTCCTTCATATATAAAATATATTTAAAGAAAATACAAAAACCAACTAATTCAAACAAAAAAAAACCAAGTTGTAAAAAATGTGCAAAAAATGATGGATTAATAAAATGCAGACAATAACAATCGTTGTAAATGACATTCGTAATTTGTTATCCGGTGAGATAAAACGGGGGATGGAGCCAAGGTGAGACAGAGAGTCTGAGTCAACCGAGAGCGAGAAAGGGTCCGTTTGGTAGAAAGCGACAACAAAGAGCAAGGTTTTTTCATGTACAGGTGCCAAATGACAAACACACTCGGAATGCTCATTACAGTCATCTTTTCGACAATACGGGGTACGTCAACGAGGGGAAAATAGCGTGAGTATCACTTTTGTGTCTCACCATTTAACAAATACTAAAGTATTCATGGACCGGTTGCATTTATCGGGGTTGCATTTTCAACTCAAAATCTATTCACTCGTTCTCGACGATTGCGACATGTGCGTCATTCGATTGGTGCCAGTGCTAAAAGATGTCAACAGTTTCCAATCTCCCATAACTCGAGATGAGATGCAATATTGTCGGCATTTCGAAATGACGATGCCAATCCAAATGGAATTCTGATATCATGCAATGTCCATTTTACTCACTCTCTCTCTCTTTCTCTCTCTCATATCATTTAAATATGCTCATTTTACAGATTCGTTTCACTTTGTGCATAGAACTTATATATTCACACACCCGCGGAAATGCGGATCGAATTTCACGAAGAGAGAGAGAGAGAGAGAGAGAGAGAGAGAGAGAAGACGAAAGAGTGAGAATGAAAAAGACGGAGAAACAAGTTTCATGCGGTATATTCCGTCATCGTTAAAATGAGCACATGAAAAACATAATACACAATTTGCCTCTCTCACTCGTAGTCTTTCCGGCATAAGCCTGAAAATGAGTACAATATGAAACCAATTCACAAAGGAACACATTTTTGTGACGCGAATTTGGCGCTTCTAAATTTATTGGCAAAAAAATTGCCCGCTTGAAGAATATTTCCACCCATTTCCGCATTCACAATGGACATTTTTCTCTGCATTCTTTTCATTTTTCACACATAAAAAGAAGATTTTACCGTTATTTTTCACACCTTTTTCTATTTTTCATACCCCTTTCTTTTATTTTCATTCCTTTTTTTTTCGTTATCATTTTTATATTCCCATTTTTTCTTTATCTACGCTGATCTAACGTTAAAATGAAGCAATTGTGATGTGAAAAACTGAAAAACGACTGTAATTTTCCTAATATTTCTATAATTTAATTTCAATATCCAAAGCTAGTTTCTTTCCAGGTAATTAAAATGAATCTAATTCGTTCAACGTTGAATGAAAAAAGAAATCGTTTTGTTAAAGCAATCATTATTCATAAGAAAATTCTATGAGTAGAAATTTGCATCACAAAAAACCGTCTTCAATACAGCAAGTAAAGGTTGTGATGATTGGCCAAAAATAGGATCAGACTATTTTCCCATTTTTTCAAGATGCTTCGTTTTTATCCAAATATACATCGCTGAAGCATGAGTTGGCTGCATAATTCACATGTGTTCCATTGGTCTGTCTCAACTCAATGTGAATGATATTGAGGCGAATGATGTCGCTGACATGAAATCGCCCGCACATCGTCATTTTCCCTTGAATACTTATTCGAAAATCAAATCATAAATCTCTCTACGGAGACGTTCAATCGCAAATTCCAATGCAAAAGAAGAGAATAATGTGAGTCTTTGCCCATTCCACTGACGCAACCGAAACGAAAGAGTATTAGAATTTCCGGCGTTTTTTTTTCTACTCTTCTCATCCTCTCGTTTTGGTTGCTGTACAGTGTACACTGATTTTACATAAATTGAACGCATGTTTTCCCATGAAAATTACACTCATTCCATACGCATGTAGGGAAAAAAAGAAGTCAAATCGACCGCATCGCGAACATCGTCAACACTTTTTACACATAGCATTCAAATGGTTATAATAAACAGCAATAAGGGCAATAGCAACAATGAAGCGAAATAAAAACGCAGCTGGTGGCTGGCGTGTGTGTGTGGTGTGTATGCTTTTTTTGTTGTTGGTGTTTGCATGAAACAGAGCGACAAAACATTATGCGATTCAGATTTGCACAGTTATTTCATCACCACATATTACATCAATAAAAAAAGAAGAGGGAGAGAGAGAGAGAGAGAATAACCAAACCTCAATAAAAAGTCTCTCTAGCGCTGTCATACACACAACATAATCAACACATTGAACTGAGATATAAAAGCATCTGCCCACCAAACCCAAATCATTTTTGACTTTCGCTCTCTCTCTCTCTCTCTCTCTCTCTCTCTCTCTCGCATATGCAACACTTGTCGACAACCAGCTAATGGATTTTCATCAGGACACCAACAATAAGGCAAAGAATTGTTTTTCTATGTATGTGTGCTTGAACTCGTCGCCAAATTATGCCAAACCGTCTGACAATGCACCAAATCACCCCCTTCCACCCGAAAATCAGTTCATTGTAGCTAGAAACAGCTTTCAGTATCGGAAATATATTGACTATTTTCAATTTTATCTTTTTTCCCTATGTTCACTTGGTTATTACACGACTCTAGCCAGTAAAATTGTGAATCATTCAACTGAGAATCACCACTGCAGCCTGTCAGTGTGTTAATATTTTACGTGGGAGAAATGAACATCAACGGTAAATTTTTACTAGTCTCATCGTTTGCACATTTTTGTTATAGAAAATTGATGAGACAGAGAAAAAAAACATATTTTATTACACAAAATGTCAAAAAAAAACGAGTGAGAATCGAAATTTCAAGGGAACGCATTCTTCATCATATTTCCTTCATTTTTAGTTCTTCCACGCATTCTTCCTTTTCTCTTTTATTTTCTTCTCCTTTCAACTATTTTGCCATTTCCATCTTTTTCCATCATTTCTTTATTTTCATATTTGTCATGCATTTTTTTCTCTCCCTTTTTTCCCATTTTTCGCATAGTTTGATAGAAAGTTACTTTTGATTAGCGCACAAGACCATTTTCCACATGCACATACATTACATATAACGAGAATCGTATGCTTGTTTGTCGTTGTCCCTCTCTCTCCCTCTTGTGTCTGCGTCATAGCTTTACACACAATTTGAATTTATTATATCAAGGGTACAGCGACAAATGAGCTTGGGATCGTCTAATTGTTTAATTGCACATTCCGAACATATTGCAACATATAGACAGATACCATTGCAAATAAACACAATGGAAATGGCCATTTTGCGTGTAGCGCACATAACAATTATCCGGATATTTCATCATATGTTTGATTCAATTAAACCATTCATATTCCGGAGCTCATATGTGGGTATAACAAATAGCCATTCCGTTCAACAGTGCAATATTTGCGACAAATCGAATCATAGGATCGCTTGAATAGGTATTTTATGTGTAATTTATGCTTTTTTGATTGAAGAATATTTTTATTTCAACCAAATTTATGAAATGGATGCATTAATTCTGCATTGGAGATGGTGTTGAAAGTTTGTTATGGAAGTTTTTATGGAATTGCATATTGTTGGATTATGTGATAGTAACAAAAATCGATTTCAGATTCAAATAAAAAAAAGTATTAGAAAATCGTAAACTATGGGAAAAGGTGAAGAAACCGAAGCGGAATTATAACAAAATGTAGTCAAATGTTTATCAACGAAATCTGTTTTGTTCTCATCAGAAAAAAAAACTGTTGAACTGATTGTCAGTACGGATATTTGGATTTTGAAACATTTAAGCTGACGCCATCCGAACAGTTCTATTTGATTTCACAAACGGAGGCTTTTACGTGCAATTCACTCTTTTGGAAGCTTTTTGAGAACACAAAAGCTCTTCGAAACGATGCAGCACAGTCAGTAATCGCAGATTTGTCTAAAGAAAACAACAAGAAGTCCGTATGATATGCTTTTCTATGAAAAGCGCCTGACTTTCACTTCCTTGACGAAATACGTATATTTTGAATATATTCAAATTGGTATTGGATGAAAATTAGCGACATCTCTTGAAAGCGTACAAGTAGAGTTCCAAATTGAAACAACATCCTTTTTTATCCGCTCATGCATTCAGGACGGAAGTATACTTTTTTGGTTTTCATTCAACGAATAATTTTAATAATTTTACTCAATTTTAAACCAGACATGCGCACAATGGTTTCCGATTTCATGTTCAAATTCAAGCTTGCAATGTGAACGTTGGCTGCCCAGTATAAAATTTCAAATTCATCTCCATGACTAGAAAAATGATCAAGGAATGTCTTGAAAATATTTCCAAAATTATCCGTGACTAGCTCAGTGAATATGACGCAAAATCAAATACTTTGCTTTAAACTGTTCCTTGCCATTTTAAAAATATTCTTTATTAGCAGCTAGGGAAACTCATAGCAATAGTTTTTTTTTCTTTTTCTAATTTTTTTTTAAATTCAAATACCAAGAAAAATTGCTTTTTTGAAAACCTTCTCTAGGCCACGAGAAGTTAGTTGGTATGCATATCAACAAAAAACGGCCGAACATTCGCTATAGACATTCGGTTTCATAAATAGACGTTATTACCGCGCGCGGTAAATGATTCAATCGGATTGTGATTTCTATATTCTAGCATCAAACCACTTTAGCAAAGCATGTTGCGTTTGAAAGGTTTGAGCTTATGGCTTTGAAGCTCTGATGTGAAACAGATGAAATATTGTTATGTTGGTTTTATTTGTTTTCCTTTTCTTCAATTCATTTTATTGTGATGGGGAAATATCAAGGTGCAAAGTACTAGATTTGACTGATTAGCGAGGCTAATACTATATTTCCAGTATTATATTACGTTTTAAAATGAATTTAAACTCAATGACGCTGAAAAAATGCTATGTGTACACACTCGCACCAATGTTCAAATTAAGCGTGGCATATATATTTTGTGCGTTGACATATATAAACTCTAACGCAAAGACACATAGCGATTGTCAAAATGACCAGAATCGCAAATTCCAGAATTATTATGATGAGAGCCAATTAGCTTTCTTGGGTCTATCAATATAGGACCGTTACTGAATAATAATATTTTTGCATAGTTGCACTTTAGCCTTTGTGCGCAAGATTTTGTCGCTGATTGAAATACATTTTTTGAAGTTATGTTGAGAAACGCGAGGCTATGCAAAAGAGATAAGAAAATGCGATTGTTCGGATTTGCAATGAAGTATAAATCAAGTGCGCAACAAACATAACAGTTAGTTCTGAATTAGTTGTGTTCATTGTGGTATTTTACTTGACAACGTTTGATTCGAATCGGACATAGTTTGACCATTTACTTACTGATTTATAAAATCGAATCTACCCAACGTTTCATTAAATTATTTGTTTTACTATTTTGTGAGAAAAAAATTGAAAACTTTTTCAAAAATCCAAATAGTTTGAAAGCAGTCGAATTTAATGTCATAAAAAACAAGTGTGTTTTTATAACAATAATTGAGCAGTAGTTCCGATATCATATATACATTATCATTTGGAGATTTCTGCAATAATTTCGAAATTAATGAGATAAAAAGTGAACCGTCCGATTCGAGTTAGGTCCATATCATTTGTTTCAAGCATATTCAATGTGTGTTCAGAATTCGATAACCTTTGCTTTTTAATCAATTTAATCGTTTTCATTTTTTTTTTATTTACGAATTGTTCAGTTTAATCATCAAAAGATGAGATTTACATTCGTAGTCATGCTCCTAGTTGCGGCTTGTGTCATTGATAAAAGTGTTCACGGTGAATTTTGAATAACTTTATTGATAGGCACTAAAGTTACTTTAACATATCGATCTTATTACAGCATCCAGTGACAAGGAGGAGTTATTGATAGAATATTCCGGACACGGTGAGCTACGCGATATTTCATTAATCGTGTTCGTAATTCTTACAATTGAAATGAAATCCGTTCCGTTCCATTGTTTTATTTAGGCAACTTGACTGCCATTCAAAAACTTATCGCCGAAGGTGTTGATATTAATGCTCAAAATTACATAAATAGCACAGCACTTCATGAGGCAGCTCTTTGGGGTAGATCGTTCAAACATTTCCATTTGAAAAAAAAAACTTCCCTTTCATAATAGTTTCACTTTTCCCATTCAGGTCATGAGAATGTAGCTCGAGCTCTTATTGAACATGGCGCAAAAGTGGATGCTGAAACCAATTTAAAAATCACACCACTACATGATGCAGCTTATCATGGTAAATTGATCACACATCTCAATTAGCGGTTTTCATTTTCCATTTGAGTTTTCTCAAATTTTCTTTTCAGGCCGTGAAAATGTAGCTCGGGCTCTTATTGAACATGGTGCAAAAGTGGATGCTGAAGACAACAATAAACAGACACCACTTCATCGCGCAGCTGCTTGGGGTAAATCGTGCACACATCTTCATTGAAATTTTTTTCAATTTGATTTCACAAATGTAGTTTGTTCATAAATATTATATCAAGTACATATAAACAAGAACCAACCTTGTATGTAATTCGATCTGCGTTCGGGTAGTCTTCAGCATCGCGATTGAAACAATAGTCCAGATCAATTTTGTTTTATTTGCTATCGTTCCGTTATAAATAAACCACGTTTGTGAAATTGAATTGAGGAAATCGTCTCGAAAATCGAAATTAATTAAAATTTGTCTTTCTCATTGGAAATTCTTTTCCTTTTCAGGACATCTGAATGTGGTTCGAGCGCTCATCGAACATGGTGCAAACGTGAATGCTGAAGACAACGAAAAAACGACACCACTTCATTTAGCAGCTGCTAGGAGTACATAGTTCACACACCTCCATTGGAAGTTTCCATTTTTCATTAGAGTTTATTATCATTATTTTTCTAGCGGCAAGTGGTTCGGAGGATATAGTCCGAGCTCTTATCGAACATGGGGCAGAAATAGATGCTGAAGACGAATCTGAAAGGACACCCCGTAAAACAGCCGAAATATGGGGTGAGATTTCACAATTGAGTAGTTTGGAGCGAAAATGTTATACAGAAAAGTTGAGAGGAAAAATGTCAAATGAAAAGAGATAGCTATATAGTTCACTATAGTTTACTATATAGCTATCTTTTTTCCGCTCATTCATCATCGACATTTTTCCGCTCAACTTTTCTTTAAAACATTTTCGCTCCAAACTACTCAATTGTAATTGAAAATAGTTGAATTGTTATGATTTTATTTCAAAATAGGTAATACGAAAGTGGCCCAAATTCTGAAGGAAGCTGAAGACAAACCAAAAATGTGAATATAAATGAAGCGGATAGAGTATGCTGCAGTGTTATGTTGCAGAATATAATTTTTACATTATGCATATGCGATTCGCTCAAATGTTTTTTTTTACCTCTGTATGCTTCAAATGTACAATGCAAGAGCTGACAAATAATTTTTTCAATTCAATTAATTAAAGAGTACGGTTTGCATGGTGCATTAAATAATATCGTGTTTTATTATAAATCATGACCAGTGTGTACGTGGTATGCAGTATAGTTTCAGGATCACATAGTGTTACCATAGATAACAAAGCGCATGTGTTCCAGCATAAGAGACGCTTCGAAAGTTGTTGTTGTTTCTTTAAATTTCCAGCAAAAATCAACATATACTCCTCCAGCTATTCTTACCGCTGCTGTGTTATTAGGGTTTTCCATGACACATTTTCATTTTTAAACTTCATGTTTTCTATGAAGATGCAATAAATAAATTACAATTTAAGTGAAATCCGTTCCGTTCCGTTCGGTTCCATTGTTTTATTTAGGTAACTTAACTGGTATTCAAAAACTTATCTCTGAAGGTGTTGATGTTAATGCAGAAAACAAAACTGGAATGAAATCACTTCATTTCGTAGTTTCTTTTGGTAAATCGTTCGCATATCTTCATCAAAAGTCTTCCTAATCTTATAGCACTTTTTTATCATTATCTTTCCAGCACATGTGAATGTAGTTCGGGATCTTGTTGAACTTGGTGCAAAAGTAGATGTTGAAGACCCTGAAAATTGGACACCACTTCATTTTGCAGCTATTTGGAGTAAATTGATCACACAGTTCCATTAGAGGTTTTCATTTTTCATTAAAGTTTTCTGATGTTGTAGAATATACAGGCTTGCCACTGGTAGGCTATTTCAGCTATTTTCAGCTATTTTGAAAATCGTAGCTATAGTCGGCTTTTTCGTCAAAAATCAGCTTTTCTCAGCTATTCAATTTTTCGATGGAAATTGAAAGAAATAGGGGTGCTAGAACGCAAAAGTAACCAACGTGAATAATCAAAATAACTTGGAAATGAAAGAAAAACAGTTTTTGACTATACCGATGAATGCGTTTGACTCTTCTTGCAAACAGATAATAATAGCCTTAGAATGACTTGTTCACTAACATAGCAAAGATTTCTGAATTTCTTTGAAACTGTCAAAAATCAATGCACATAACGATTCGAATAAAAATCAGTATTCTACGCGAAATTTCATATGATTGAGTTTAGTTGTCTTTTAGAAATGAGTTCAAAGATAAGAAAATTCTGTACAGACCGGCTCGATCAGTTCAGTTTGATGCCAGACGTTATTCAGGCCTATAAAAGTAGTGCGGAGGACTATAGAGATTTTAGAAAGGTTGGCTTGGCTTGCCTTGGTTCGGCTCGACTTGACTTGACTTAGCTTTTATCCCAGCATTGAACCAATGTGTACGGAAGACACGATGCAGTTATAAGGTTTGAGCTTCGGCAATAGCTTTTTCTTGGTTGGAACGGCCGTTTTTCTATCCTTTGAAATTGCTTAGATTTGAAACTGAGCACATTTTTGTGCTTTCATTTAGACGTAGACAAGTCTATGTGTTGAATCGACATTATCATCGACGATGAACTCAAAATAAATTCCAATCTGCATTTATATTTTACTATGGTAAAAATACTCTGATTGCTACCCATCTCTTCTCTTTTCGTTGAATTCAAGGAAATGGATAATATTTTAGGAATTTACCCACTCGCATGCATTGCACTCAACATTGTAAAATGCAAATGTATTTGATTTACCGATTAATAAATTACCAAAATGCGTCTGTTACGAATTCTGAAGAAAAAAACTGAATTTTTTTTTACCATTTGCAAAAAAAATGTATGGTTTTTTATGCTTGAGCCTAACGAGAAGGGTCCATTCTTCATAATCAGTGCCAACTCCGATAGAAGATGAATCTTTCTTTCAAATTTTTTTCTCCGTGTAAAAAAAAGCAGCTCTCGCAAAAGTCGACAAGGCTTACATCAAAAATGAGCTCAAGTTTAATGTGAAGTTGGTGTAAAGGTGGGAATACACCTTGCAAGTAAAATGCTTGCAGCAAACATTTTTTTCCAACGTACTTTTCTATTCGATTCTAAGAATGACACTTGCATGCAAGTAAAGGTAGTGTGATACATTAGTGTAAATTTTGGTCAATATTTATTTCCAAATGTCCACGAGGTAGGTTTATATGATCGATTTTATAAATATATTTAAATATTCAAAGAAATTCGATCATTTTATCACTGTACAATTTACTTTGTGGACGTATACACGAAAATATGGAACAGAATTCCATGCAAGCAAAGTGCTTGCAAATGCTTGCGTGCAAGTACTTCACTTGCATACAATTTGGTCGAAATTTTTGCGCTACTGCCCACAAAGTAGAACATATAGTGCTAAAATTATCGAATTTATTCGAATATTTAAATATCTTTATAAAATCGATCATATAAACCTACCTCGTGGACATTTGGAAAAAAATATTGACCAAAATTTACACTAATGTATTACACTACCTTTACTTGCATGCAAGTGTCATTTTTAGAATCGAATACAAAAGTACGTTGGAAAAAAATGCTTGCTGCAAGCATTTTACTTGCAAGGTGTATTTCCACCTTAAGTCATATTGATATGGAGAACGATTCGAGCACATTTTTGATATGGCTTTTTCAATGGGTAGATTGTTGTTTTTAATTATCTTTCCACCAGACATAACAAATGTTCCTTTTTGACATAAGATCACTAATCTGATCAGTCATCCACGGAACTGTTTCGTGTTTTAAAGTAATTTCACGATAAGGGCAGATATCGTTTAAAGTCTGTTGTGATGATCATATGAAACTAATCAATCATTGAATCCATTTTGTTGTCATATGATGGCAACATGATTGAATGTTGACCAATATTACAATACTTAGAACATATAATTTCAGACACTTGTTGTTTTCCAGAGAATTTGAATTGAAAGCTAGGGGGTAAGAACACAAGCGCTTGAGAAGAATCCGTACGAATATTTGTGAATTCGTGTGATTGTATATACGAGACATTCGCAACGCAGTGAGTGTACAACAACAATAACAAAGCCACGAACGCATGAATATATGCGAATCTATGTGAATCTCACAACTTGTCCTTAGCCCCTAGATTGAAAGCGAAGCATGTAAGTACATGCTGGTAATTAATGATCAGTTCATTCATGCGATCAAATATTCTGATGGAATAATCAAAACAATTCATTGATGTCATGTAATCATAATGAATTGTTTATACTACGGATACTATTATCATAATGTATGCAAACGAAGAATTGTTCTAATAAATCGTAATTAAAACGTAGAATTAGTTGTTGGTTCTAAAAGTCGCAAAGAAGAATCTCTTTTTCACCACTTTGCCCGCTTATTGTTGCTATCGGACATCATTCAAAAATCTCTTAAGTTGCCAGACATTCTGTTACAAAACAACTGTGAATTTTTTTTTTTTGGAGTCGTTCCTCGTGTCGAATACAAATACAAAACAAGTGATAATTATCGTAGACAACCATTTCGGAGAAATTGAGAATTGTGTTTTTGATCTTCTAACTGATTTCTGAATCACTTCGTAATGCTGTGAACAACAAAACAGTATACGTGACAAAGATAATGGGATTTCTTCGAATTTATTGCCGAAAAACACACCGCTCATTAATGCTCGGCCATGTCCAAAGGGGTAGATACAGATTTTTATATTGATTCAAATTTTTGCAAATATTTCTCTAATTTCATTCAATTTTCTTCAGGCTTTGTTATGCGCTAAATTCATCACGCTGAATAAATTCATGCGATAGATTTATGCGATAAATGTGATGTGCTCGCTTTGCGGTGAACGATGTCTGTTGCTCTTCACTACCGCTTAGCGATGCGTTCACTGCAAAGCATGAACGTTCATGCGTGAACAAGTGAAGAGCAAAAGACTTCGTTCACCACAAAGCGAGCCCATCATATTTATCGCATGAATTTTTTCAGTGTGATGGATTTAGCGCATAACAAAGCCTGATTTTCTTTATAATTTCTAAAAAACGTATAAAAAAACTGATTTTTCATTTTATTCAATTTCTAATTTCAATTAATTTACTCATCATGTCTTTCCCCTAGGCTATTGAACAGCGATAAGTAAATGCGAATTTTCGGCTGTCCAACAAAGTATAAAAGCTAATGTGCGCAGCAAACATTACAGTCAGTTCTAAATCATCATTGTGGTATTTTATTTGATGATGTTTGACTCGAATCGGACTACCGTTTATTGATTTATAATTTTCCATTGTATAATTAAGTTTTTTTTTTGTGTGGAATACAAATTTAAAAAATCTCCCTTTGACATTTTTTTCTCATCAATGTTAAAATAAAAAGTAAACCGTCCGATTCGAGTTAAGCTTATAATTTGATTATATTTAATTTGTATCAGGGCTAAAAACACGGAATCAAATTGATTTTGCTTTTTTTTTTATCCATTTGTTTGTTTGTAAATCGTTGCGATTGAAGACGGAAAAAGGCAAAATATGAGACGTTCATTTGCAGTCATTCTCCTATTAGCGGCTTGTGTCGTTGATAGAAGTGTTCACGGTGAGTTTTGAATAACTTCATTGATAATCACTGAAAATTTAAAAAAAAAACTCAAACATATTGGTTTCATTACAGCACACAGTGCCAAGGAGAAATTATTGATGGAATATTCTAGACACGGTCGGCTACGTGATATCTCATTTATTTTGATAGTTTTTTTTTAAACAATTTAAGTGAAATCCGTTGAAATTTTTTTATTTTGTTTAGGCAATTTGACTGGCGTTCAAAAACTTATCTCCGAAGGTGTTGATGTTAATGCTGAAGATCCGCTTAAACGAAGACCACTTCATTACGCAGCCACTTCAGGTAAATCGTTCACACAACTCCATCAAACGTTTCCCATTTCTTATTGCTTTTTTTCTCCATATCTTTCCAGATTATGTGAATGTAGTTCAGGCTCTTGTTGAATTTGGTGCAAAAGTTAATGCTGAAGACTTTGAAAATCGGACACCACTTCATTTCGCAGCTCAATTTGGTAAATCGTTCACACACTTCCATTTAAGGTTTTCATTTTTCATTAAAATTTTCTGATGTTGTATTTATAGACCGTGTGAATGTAATTCGGGCTCTAATCGAACTTGGTGCAAATGTGAATGTTGAAAACAATCGGGGGGAGACACCGCTTCATTGCGCAGTTAATATTGGTAAATCGTTCACACATCTCCATTAAAAGTCTCCCTATTCTTATTGCATTTATTTTGATAATCTTTTCAGCGCGTGTGAATGCAGTTCGGGTTCTTGTTGAACTTGGTGCAAATATGGAAGCCGCAAATACTTATCTTGAAGAAACACCACTTCATTACGCAGCTAAATTTGGTAAACCGTTCACACATCTCCATCAAAAGTCTCCCAATTCTTATTACTGCTATTTTCATCATCTTTCCAGGCATGATGGATGTAGCTCGGGCTCTCATCGAACTTGGTGCAAATTTGAAGGTTGAAAACAAAAATAAACTGACACCCCGTCAATTAGCTGAAAAGCTTGGTAATATTTCACAATTTGGAATGAAATATAATCACAGATCGTTGAATTGCTATGATTTTATTGCCATGTAGGTCGTACGAAAGTGGCCACAATCCTGAAGGAAGCTGAAAACAAGACACCAATGTGAATATAAATCAAGCGGATAGCGCATGCTGGCGTTATGTTGCCAAATATAATATTTACATAATTCATATGCGATTCGCTCAAATGTTAGTCTTTAGCTCTGTATACTTCAAATGCAGAATGCAAGAGATTACGAATAAATTTTTCAATTCAATCAATTAAAGAGTACGGTTTGCATGGTGCATTGGATAATATCGTGGTTTGATTATAATTCATGGCCAATGCTCATGCGTATCGGCATAAGAGACTCTTAGCAAATAATAGTTGTTTTCTTAAATTTCTTGCAAAAAAAAACCAACATATACCAACATCCTTCAACTATTTTCTAGTCGATAGAAATTCATTCACCTCTTTCATAACAGAATCGTTGAAACACAAAAACTTAACAACCAAAAAGTAACAATTGTTATGCCCAATGAGGAAAATGTTACAGTTGTACACATTTTGTGCACGGCCAATGTAATTTCTCCATAAGCTGTGCACAAAATGTGTACAACTGTAACGTTTTCCTCATTGGGTGAGAAGGATTCAAAAAACTATTCTTCATACATACAGACCGTTTTTTCCCTAACAAAAGTCCTTTAAATAGTGAATTGAAAGAATTTTTTTTAGCTGACTCTGCCATTATTATTATACTTGAATATTGTAGAGTACGTCACTTCATGCAGGCAAACTTTTAAATAAGTAGACATTTGGAATATGTTTTCTGCGTGAAGCTATAATAGCAACTGATTTATTATTCAACTCTTATGTCTATTGTAACATTCGTAAAGTGACAATTTGAAATTAGGTTGTTTTGTTATACAAACTACAGTTCAGAGAATTCAAGTTCTGTTGAATTTTGTCCCTTCCCATATGCTTGCTGTGCGGTGAAATATATTCCGCGGCGGGCTGTGTGCGGGATATAATATAGAGCTCGATAAAGCATTAGCGAGAGCAGTGCATCGCTCTGACACACATCATTATGTGTATACGGATTCAGCGGAACGGTTAGAGAGCCAACATAGATACACTCGAACGCATGCTACTATGACTATTTGCAACAGACTTGTGTACTCAGTCGTAGTAGCCTGCGCACAGCAAGCATATGGGTTCTTCACATTGAGAGAGAAATAAAAATGTATATATTGGTCAATGTGAAACGTCAAATACATCTTCAGTACACTAAAATCTATTGAACTTACATGTTGTTTCTTCAGTTGCATAAAAATTAGTGCGTAGAAAAGACATTTTGAGGCAATAAAATCGTTAATCAGTTCATTATTCAGCGTAAAATATGAAAAAAGTGGGAGTGTTTTTACTAGTGACATTGGTTGCATTTCTAATTGTATATTACAATTTAAAATCGGATCCATATATTACCGATGATAAACCGCCTGAAAAACCGTATTACCCTCGATTAACCTTTGCGATATCAATATTGAAACAATTACAAAATGATAAGCCCAATGAAAGTGTTTTCTACTCGCCACATAGCCTTTATGAGGCACTTTTATTGACTTTTTTCACTGTTTCCGATGAAACAGAGAAACAGTTAAAAAAGAATGTGTGAAGGCTTTATACCATTTGTGCTTTTTGCAATAATATGGAGCCGCCATGATTATTTACCAATCAATAGTACTGAAGTACAGTGTATTTGAGTCCGTAGCTTCTCCACTACTGCTTGAAAGCACAATAGTATAAAAATCAGCAAGAATTTACGCCTCGTTCTTTATTGGAATTGAATTGGATTCGAAATAAATCAGATGTTGAATATTCGTATAAATCGAAAAATGAACAGTTCAGTCGATTTCAAAATGAAACAATCGAATTCAGTTCGGTTAATAAGCTATACGTCACAACGGAACTTAAAATTCGGTAAAAAAAATTAAATAATTGATTATTTTGGTTTGATTAATCATCATTAAAAACAAAACTTTTTTGATTGCACAGTGATTCGGTGGGGAATCTATTGGGAAGGAACAATATTGAATCACTCAATTTCTTTGAAGAACCCGCTCAATACACCGCACACATCAACAATTTCGTTGAAGAGTTTACAAAGAAACAAATCAGAAATCTTATTCCACCAAGTCTTATAAGTCAAGGAACAACATTCGCCATTGTCAATGCGGCATATTTTAAAGGGAAATGGGTATAATTTTGTAATTGGTGTGCTGAAAAAAAATGAAATTCATATGATTCATTGCATTTATCCTTAGATAACTCCGTTCGATGAAAAACTAACTCAACAAGAAGCATTCTATAAGGAAGACGGAGATAAGATCTTTGTTGATATGATGAGACAATCGAAACATGAGAATATCGAGTTCGAATGTGGTAAACTTTGAACATTTCACACGTCAATTCAATCGATTTTTTTTTATACTGGCAGATTTTAATTTTCATTTCCAAATTAGGTCTCATCAAAAATTTGAATACAAAATTTTTGAAAATGCCATATAAAGGTGACAACGGAACGATTTCAATGTTCATTTTCTTGCCAAACGAATCAACTTCCGTTGGCCAATTATTAGACGGATTAACAGCAAAAGTAATAGATTTCGTATTCAACGGTGAAACACGAAATCTTTATCTCTTCAAAAGAGGTTAACATCGTTCTTCCGAAGATTTCATTAGAAAAAGAGCCTGCAGTGGAACCGGTATGTTGACCGATAACATTTCAACGTGTTTTTTTTTATCAATTTAATTTTACTTTCCACACAGGTAATCAAACGTTTAGGAGTTGATCGTTTATTCCAAGGTGCGAATTTTAGTGATCTTTTCGAAGATTATTGGAAATACTTTGGCGACGGAATCCAAACAAAACTGTTGCACAAAGCCAAAAATGAAATCGATGAAGAAGGTTCAACCGCTGCAGCTAGTACAGCGGTGATGCATTTGGAATCTGGGCCCGAGAATTTCAAATGTAATCGTCCATTTATTTTTGTAATTCATGATAAGAAATTGAATGAAATTTTATTTGCCGGAACTTATCATGGACCAAATTGATGAATATAAAAAAATGAATATCAACAATGCTTTTTTTCTTGATTCGAAATAAATATGTATTTGGAAATTGCAATGAATTTCAAATAAAATAAAAACAAATAATTAGTCTACATAGAAATTAATTCTTTCACTTTGCTTCTTCTTAAAAAAATTGAACATATAAAACCCTCCGGAGTCACGCTGAAAAGGTGTAGACCAAAATTATTAATTAAATAAATCAGAAAAATTGAACAAATTACAAACTTACGGTGCATGTAGAACTTCGAACAGATTGAGCGCACAAAAAGAATTTATTTGCACAAGTTAGGGTCTGAAATTGTGTTTTTCGAAGCGAGTCGGACACTTTTCCATCTTCTGTTATTCCCCAGCTGTGGACAAAAAAAAATTAGAGAAAAATGTGTTTTAGAGGACATTGAAATACATCTATATACCCATAAAACTGTACGATGTTACCGGTATCAACGTGTTCCTTTGACAATTCAACTTTTCACGCGCCGCTGTTCTGGAAATTGATTTTACGGGATAATTGCAAAAGAGCGATATCTGATGATGCTGCGTTGTCGATGCTTTTATCGTCAAATTCAATAATCTTTTTGATGCAATAGCGGGATGTATCAACGGCATCACTCAAAGAAGGCTGGATCTTTAACGAGTTCCTTCAAACCAACCAATTGTCCCAAATGAACGGGCCAATCGTCGCCAATTTTTTCGCGAATAATCTCACTCAATCCTGGATTGCACAACAACAACCAACGACGTGGCGTGATACCGTTGGTTTTGTTTTGGAATTTCTTTGGTTCGTATTCATAAAAAGCCTTGAACAAATCGGCCTTAAGAATTTCCGAATGCAAAGCAGCCACACCGTTAACGGCATGCAATCCAACAATTGACAAGAATGCCATGTTGATGCGTTTGTCACCCTGTTCTTCAACGCACGACATGCGACGCAAACGATCGAAATCGGCTTTACCGAATTTCTTCTTTACATTTTCCAAATGCAAAAAGTTAATGTGATAAATAATTTCCAAAATCGATTCGAGCATCGATACTGGCGATTTTTCCAAGGCTTCTGGCAAGACAGTGTGATTGGTGTATGCACAGGTGCGTACAGTGATGTCCCAAGCTTGATCCCATGGCAATTTCTCAATATCGAGCAACATACGCATCAACTCTGGAATGGCCATCGATGGATGAGTATCGTTCAATTGAATGGCAACTTTGTCGGGGAAGTGTGAGAAATCGGTGCGAATAGCATCACGTGAACCGAATTTCGATGCTTTGAAACGACGAATGATATCCTGCAATGTAGTGGCGCACATAAAGTACTCTCGTTTTAAACGGAAAAATGTTGTAGTTGCATGGAAATGCATTCAAATATATATTTATAATTATTGGAAATAAAGCGAGTCTGATCCTCGTTTGGTCTCGTTAATTTTTTTGTAGATTTCCAATTAGTCTTATCTCTAGTTTGTTCTTATAATTCCATCGATTCGTTGACGCCAATTCGAATGAAATATTTCCGTTTGGTGCCATGAAGCCATTCCGCATTTCTTTTCAATTCCCAACGCACAAAAATAGCGTTTTTCGCTATATTTTGTTGTGCCGACAATCGTTGATGAAGAAAAATGGCAACAACAACAAGCAAAAATCGCTTGAAATACACACAATTCGCAAGATTGATTGGATTCCAATTACGATGATATAATGCCATTCGGCGTAATTCATTAAACACAGATCTTTTTCATACATGAGAAAAGTATAAATTTTAAAGAAATAATAGTTTGTTGTCGCCCTGTCATACTGTACTGCACAGTTCAAATGGCATGAAAACAAGACATTTTCGATGACGATTGCGAATAGTATTTTTATAATGCAATTTACTATATACGATCACGCATGGATTGTATTGTGAGCACGTATGCTTTAGCTGCTTGCCAGATTCGGATGAAAACAACAAGATAATAAAAAAGTCGAATGCGATAATAATGGATGAGAGGGAGAGAGAATCGTCTTTTGTTATTTGCTCATAGAGAAGTTATCATTAGCGCAACGAATGTAAGTCAACGCCGTCGTCGTCGTCGTCGTCGTCGACGTTGCAAGCAGCAAGTCTGTGGGTCAACAGCCTCAAGGAGAGAATGCGAGTGTCTCTGAATAGCGCGTACAACGTATACGTGTGTGTCACATTCTAATTTTTCTCGATATATTACATAACAAACTCGAATGTGCGGCTGCGTTTTTTTGTGCTGTGTCGTACAAAATGACTTGTTTCAAATCGACTCAAAAAAGAAAACTAACTATTGAATCAGCTGTCGACATGAATATTGTCACAAAATCCAATTTTTTTTTCTCTCTTCTCTTTTATGTTTAATTTATTTTGTTTAGTCATTGATGATTCGAAGATGATTCAAATTTCGAATCCTATTTTGAATTAAACATTCATAAGGATCATTTTCTTGCGTGTGTACTAGTTTCAATGATTGTTTACAATCTCATTCAAAAACTATGACCTATTTGACCTTGTTCCAATTTGAAATTGATGAAATTATCATTTTTGTCCGATTTGATTGCCGTTTTAGTCGAACACTATTGAAAAATGATCGGTATAATTTCATATGTTTCATGGAAACAAAGGTTGCCATCCAATGCGTTTTTGTTTTCAGGAAAAAAAAATCGTACGGAAAATTCGAACACGCATTGATTACACAATAATCATGCAATGGCAGGCGTTTGGCAACTAGTTTGATAATAACATAACCGCGATAGTCGTCACTTTGCGTTCCATATCAACCGGCAAAACGCGTTTATCACACACACACACACACACACACAGCTGATTATCTTTCAAGTTAACTCAATCCAAAGGCCGCTTACTATTATCAGGAAATAAAAGCCATCATGTAGAAATAAACAATTGACAAAAAGGCGATAATGAACACAGAGCAAAAAAAATCGTTCAACTTACTTTTGGATCCTTTTCATAGTAGTATCTTAAAATAGACAAAGAGTAAAAACCACATTGATAACCATCCAATGGGCAGTTTTTTTTCTTCTAATGGAACTTTTGATAAGGTTAGAAGACCGCATCGATTAAAATGGAGAATGGAATATTCGGTGTGAGTGTAAATTATCGAATTTTGATAGTTTTTGTGATGACACACGCAATATGTTTGTGCACAAGAGAGTTCATTCAAGGACAAACGACACTATCGTAATGAGAAAGGAGGAAGATGAAGATGAAAATAATCAAAAAAACTTACTGTTGGATACGAATCCATCATGAAACCATGTGATCCTTCACGCAATGGGCCAATGCAAAGTAATAATCTTGTGGCGTGGCCACATTACGATCTTTCACCAATGTGTAGTGAAGATGACGGTTTAGACCCTTCTTAACTTCACCCACATTTTCAACCTGAGCAATGTCTCGTACACTGATTTGTTTTCGCTTTTCAATATCTGACTGTAGCGTTGACATTTTTAATGGTTTTTCGTTTCCTTTCTCGCTAATTACTCGTCAATCAACAATTGAATTTGAAGAATTGATATGATTTTTTTCGTATTGAGAAAGGAACATTCATGATTGAAGACCGAAAAAAAATATCTTTAAACGAAAACGATGTAGCCGTAATCAGACTCTTTGAAAGTATTTTCTAAATTTGCACCGCGCGCGAGCTTTTTAATAAAAATTGGGCTGCTTACAAAAACGTCTATAAAATTGACAAAATCGACTAATGAAATGACAAAATCATCTAAAAATCAAACATTTTTATCCCGAAAATTCTAAAAAGGCAGAGAAACGCCGATGAATGAAATGTGACGAAACCATAAAAAATAAGACAAACTTTTTTCTTAATAAATGTGCTATAAAATTATATATATAATTTACATTTCTTTTATCAGAAAAAATACCACCGTATTTATTGGTATTTTTTTTTCGTGATATATATTTTTGCTTCAAAATCGTTTTTATTCTTACAAATTCGTATAATTGTATTTTTATAAGAAAATGTTTGTTCAAAATACCAATTGCCCCTTTTTGCTCGACTGAAACTCAGTGAATGGAGCACAGAACTTAATTCTTATTATTACTTCTAAAATGAAACAAATTTCGATCAATTGCTTTTTCTATCACAACACAAATTGACTACTACATACGCTGGAGGGCTGGTGCGGATTTCTTTGGCCAAGGTTGCTTCTTTGCCAATACTTGCAGGTTGCAATCGGCCTGAACTCCTGTTTGCTTACATAGGAGAGCGATCCCTACGAACCCTTACATGTTACATTTTTCATAAAGAAAGGACAAGAACATGTAGAACGTTTCCAATCAACAAGTGAAACAACTTTGTACACACGTTGGTGTACTTGATCGATATATATGTCAAAATTAGATTTTTAGATGATTTTGTCCTTTTTAATGGGCGTTTTGTCTATAGACGTTTTCGGAGATTTTTAGGCGATTTTGTCACTTTTTTTCAAGCATGTACGGCTGGCTATTCAGAAATAGTCAAAACACACATTACAGCAATGGCATCTATTGGTGTGGAGAGATTTTCTAACCGAATTGAAGCCTCAGAAGAATTTCCCACGAAATAACATGTAAATGTGGAGAAAAGAAAGAGAACTAAATTAATTTCATTTAAAAAATTAGAGATGGCGCATATTAGTTCTTTACGCAAAAATAAGTCTACAATCCCATACAAGTACTTTATGGTTGCTTTTTTTTGGAATTGTGAATTTAAACGATTTTGTCATTAAAAAAATTGTCAGAATTATAGATGATTTTGTCACTTTTTTAGACGATTTTATGAAGAAAAGTCAGAATTTTTTATTAGACGAAATTGTTTTTATTTCAGACGTTTTTGTCATTTTTCATAGACGAAATTGTATTTAACCTAAAAATTGATGCATTCACGCCGAGAGCGAGTAAAGCACTGGTTGGTTAGCTGAGCGAAATCGGTCACCTTTCACCAAGTTTAAAATTGCATCGAAACG